TAGTACCTCAATTGACTGGATATCGATGACATACATTTCAAATCATATCAGCGATCTTCCAGGCAGTTCTTGATAGCAAATATCTCGAAAACCAAGTGAGAAATGAATAAACGGACTTCAGATTCTTATTCGGTGCATCGAGAACACCCTGTTTGCAAGTTTTTAGCCCATTCTGACGCCTCGAGTTGGTTGGAAAAAGTTCAAAGGGGTTTTAACCTTGTTTCATTTTCAGACCCAAAAATTAACTTTGTCCTAGGGCCTTCAAATTTGGTACACAGGGTACTTTAGGAATGCCCTAGTGCGGAGTAGAAACACAGCTCTCTAGCGTTGATAAAAAAAAAGTTGCAATTTTTGACCTGGTTTTCAGCCCTTGTGGTACCTTTTTTTTAACAAAATGGCAAGATCTAGTACCTCAATTGACTGATGGATATCGATGACATGAGAGATACATTTCAAATCATATCAGCGATCTTCCAGGCAGTTTTTGATCGCAAATATCTCGGAAACCAACTGAGCAATGAATAAACGGACTTCAGATTCTTATTCGGCGCATCAAGAACACACTGTATGTAAGTTTTCAGCCCATTCTGACGCCTCGAGTTGGTTGGAAAAAGTTCAAAGGGGTTAACCTTGTTTCATTTTCAGACCCAAAAATCAACTTTGTCGTAGGGCCTTCAAATTTGGTATACAGGGTTCCCAAGTTATGCCCTAGTGCGGAGTAGAAGCACAGCTCTCTAGCGTTGATAGAAGAAAAATTGCAATTTTTGACCTGGTTTTCAGTCCTTGTGGTACCTTTTTTAAAAAAATGGCCCGATCTAGTACCTCAATTGACTGGATATCGATGACATACATTTCAAATCATATCAGCGATCTTCCAGGCAGTTTTCGATCGCAAATATCTCGGAAACCAACTGAGCAATGAATAAACGGACTTTAGATTATTATTCGGCGCATCAAGAACACCCTGTATGCAAGTTTTCAGCCCATTCTGAGCCTCCAGTTGGGTGGAAAAAGTTCAAAGGGGTTAACCTTGTTTCGATTTCAGACTCGAAAATCAACTTTGTCGTAGGGCGTTCAAATTTGGTACACAAGGTAATTTAGAGATGCCCTAGTGTGGAGTAGAAACACAGCTCTATAGCGTTGATAGAAAAAAAGTTGCAATTTTTGACTTGGTTTTCAGTCCTTGTGGTACCTTTTTTAAAAAAATTGCAAGATCTAGTACCTCAATTGACTGGATATCGATGACATGAGAAATACATTTCAAATCATATCAGCGATCTTCCAGGCAGTTTTTGATCGCAAATATCTCGGAAACCAACTGAGCAATGAATGAACGGATTTCAGATTATTATTCGGCGCATCAAGAACACCCTGTATGTAAGTTTTCAGCCCATTTTGACGCCTCGAGTTGGTTGGAAAAAGTTCAAAGGGGTTAACCTTGTTTCAATTTCAGACCCAAAAATCAACTTTGTCCTAGGGCCTTCAAATTTGGTAAACAAGGTAATTTAGAGATGCCCTAGTGCGGAGTAGAAACACAGCTCTATAGCGTTTGATAGAAAAAAAGTTGCAATTATTGACCTGGTTTTCAGTCCTTGTGGTACCTTTTTTAAAAAAATGGCAAGATCTAGTACCTCAATTGACTGGATATCGATGACATGAGAAATACATTTCAAATCATATCAGCGATCTTCCAGGCAGTTTTTGATCGCAAATATCTCGGAAACCAACTGAGCAATGAATAAACGGACTTCAGATTCTTATTCGGCGCATCAAGAACACCCTGTATGTAAGTTTTCAGCCCATTCTGACGCCTCGAGTTGGTTGGAAAAAGTTCAAAGGGGTTAACCTTGTTTCAATTTCAGACCCAAAAATCAACTTTGTCCTAGGGCCTTCAAATTTGGTACACAGGGTACTTTAGGGATGCCCTAGTGCGGAGTAGAAACACAGCTCTCTAGCGTTGATAGAAAAAAAGTTGCAATTTTTGACCTGGTTTTCAGTCCTTGTGGTACCTTTTATAAAAAAATGGCCCGATCTAGTACCTCAATTGACTGGATATCGATGAGATACATTTCAAATCATATCAGCGATCTTCCAGGCAGTTTTTGATCGCGAATATCTCGGAAACCAAGTGAGAAATGAATAAACGGACTTCAGATTCTTATTCGGCGCATCAAGAACACCCTGTATGCAAGTTTTCAGCCCATTCTGACGGCTCGAGTTGGGTGGAAAATGTTCAAAGGGGTTAACCTTGTTTCAATTTCAGGCCCAAAAATCAACTTTGTCCTAGGGCCTTCAAATTTGGTACACAGGGTACTTTAGGGATGCCCTAGTGCGAAGTAGAAACACAGCTCTCTAGCGTTGATAAAAAAATAGTTGCAATTTTTGACCTGGTTTTCAGTCCTTGTGGTACCTTTTATAAAAAAATGGCCCGATCTAGTACCTCAATTGACTGGATATCGATGACATGAGAAATACATTTCGAATCATATCAGCGATCTTCCAGGCAGTTTTTGATCACAAATATCTCGGGAACCAAGTGAGAAATGAATAAACGGACTTCAGATTCTTATTCGGCGCATCAAGAACACCCTGTATGTAAGTTTTCAGCCCATTCTGACACCTCGAGTTGGTTGGAAAATGTTCAAAGGGGTTAACCTTGTTTCATTTTCAGACTCGAAAATCAACTTTGTCCTAGGGCCTTCAAATTTGGTACACAGGGTACTTTAGGGATGCCCTAGTGCGGAGTAGAAACACAGCTCTCTAGCGTTGATAGAAAAAAAGTTGCAATTTTTGACCTGGTTTTCAGTCCTTGTGGTACCTTTTTTAAAAAAATGGCAAGATCTAGTACCCCAATTGACTGTGGATATCAATGACATGAGAGATACATCTCAAATCATATCAGCGATCTTCCAGGCAGTTTTTGATCACAAATATCTCGGGAACCAAGTGAGAAATGAATAAACGGACTTCAGATTCTTATTCGGCGCATCAAGAACACCCTGTATGTAAGTTTTCAGCCCATTCTGACACCTCGAGTTGGTTGGAAAATGTTCAAAGGGGTTAACCTTGTTTCATTTTCAGACTCGAAAATCAACTTTGTCCTAGGGCCTTCAAATTTGGTACACAGGGTACTTTAGGGATGCCCTAGTGCGGAGTAGAAACACAGCTCTCTAGCGTTGATAGAAAAAAAGTTGCAATTTTTGACCTGGTTTTCAGTCCTTGTGGTACCTTTTTTAAAAAAATGGCAAGATCTAGTACCCCCAATTGACTGTGGATATCAATGACATGAGAGATACATCTCAAATCATATCAGCGATCTTCCAGGCAGTTTTTGATCACAAATATCTCGGGAACCAAGTGAGAAATGAATAAACGGACTTCAGATTCTTATTCGGCGCATCAAGAACTCCCTGTATGTAAGTTTTCAGCCCATTCTGACGCCTCGAGTTGGTTGAAAAATGTTCAAAGGGGTTAACCTTGTTTCAATTTCAGACCCAAAAATCAACTTTGTCCTAGGGCCTTCAAATTTGGTACACAAAGGTAATTAAGGGATGCCCTAGTGCGGAGTAGAAACACAGCTCTCTAGCGTTGATAGAAAAAAAGTTGCAATATTTACCTGCTTTTCTGACCTTGCGGTACCTTGAATATAAAATGGTTCGATCTAGTACCCCAATCCATGACATGAGAAATACAGATTTCTTGGCGGAACTATAAAATCACTAAATTAGCCCACAAAAAGAAATTCTTTCAATAATGTCAACGATCTTCCAGACAGTTTTTGATCGCAAATATCTTGGAAACCAACTGAGCAATGAATAATAAACAATTAAACTTCAGATTCTTATTCGGCGCATCAAGAACACACTGTATGCAAGTTTTCAGTCCATCCTGATGCCTCGAGTTGGGTGGAAAAAGTTCAAAGGTGTTAATTATCCTTGTTTCAATTCCAGACTCGAAAATCAACTTTGTCGTAGGGCTTCCAAATTTGATATACAGGATGCTTGAGGGATGTCCTAGTGCGGAGTAGAAGCACAGCTCTGTAGCGTTGATAGAAGGAAAGTTGCAATTTTTGACCTGCTTTTCAGTCCTTGTGGTACCTTTTATAAAAATGGCCCGATCTAGTACTTCAATTGACTTAATATGAAAACTAGGTACTGGATTTTTGGCGAAACTTATTCAATTCACGTATTTTATTATCGCCTACAAGATAGTCTTAGCCATCATTTCATGGAACTTTTGACATTTTTCCCCAATTTTCGATCGCAAATATCTCTGTAACGAAAAACAAACGGAAAAATGTTCAAAGGGGTTAACCTTGCTCTTGCTACTTTTTCAGACCCAAAAATTAACTTTGTAGGGCTTCCAAATTTGGTATACAGGGTCCTTGAGGGATTGCCTCGTGCAGAGTAGAAGCACAGCTCTGTAACATTAATAGAAAAAAAGTTACAATTTTTGACCTGGTTTTCTTTCCTTAATATAAAATGGCTCGATGTAGTACGAGCTCATCAATGAACTGAATATCGATGTCGTGAGAACTATTGAACTTTTGGCGGAACTAAAACCTATTTTGCCCACGAACAGACATTCTTTGCCTCATTTCATCAGCGATCTTTCAAGAAATTTTTTTCAAATTGTTTTAAGGCAAGCAACTTTTCAGTACATTCCAACGCCTTGAGTTGGTTGAGTGTTGTTATATATAATAATCTTATTGTTTCTTTTTCAGTCTTAAAAATCAATTTTGTCGTAGGACTTTGAAAATTTAGTATCGATATAGAGCCCTTTAGGCATATCCTCGTGGACTAGAAGCACAGCTCTCTATAGTAACAAAATAAAAAAATAATAATTTTTGACCCCGTTAATTCTTACAGAGAATTCAAAATATAGATGATAGAAATGCGGCCCATATGTGTTGACAATCCAGATATCATTAATAAAATAAATTAAAATGAGATATCGTTATTATTCTTGGTATTATTATTTATTATTCACGCCATTTCACGCCAAACCAAGGTCGCAACGTCGCATATAGATAGAAATAGAACGAACAAAAAGTGAGGTTTGGTTTTGTTTGTTGATGTTATGAAGCTTTCATATCAGTGCAGAATCAACAAGTATTATAAAAGTACAAGCATAGACCACAGATTACAAGTAACCAAAATATAATACCATCTCAGTAGGTAATTCTTTGCTTGCCTCTTACAATGGCCAAGTTATTAGAGAAGGTAAACTCATAATAATTATTTTATCAAATTTTTTATAACAGCCACTGAGGTCAAATAATAATGTATTTTCCTGAATGAATACCTATTTTTTTTACTTTCTAGCCAATTCTATATGGTTTCTGGGCCAGTACGTGCACATGGAGGGTACGTATTGGTAAGTTGAGATGTTTCTTTTCAATTTTATGACAAAAATAATCATGAAACTATCATTAGGTGTATCCCATTGTAGTATTCTCATTTAAGCACTGAATTTGAAAGAAATTCCTCACGAAATAAAGCCTGTCGATCTATCGAAGGGAGCACAACACTCGGAGGAATATCGAAAATTCAACCCCATGGAACAGGTTCCTGCTCTGGTGATAGATGGCGCCACTCTAGTCGAATCCATGAGCATCCTCCAATATCTGGAAGAAACCAGACCGCAGAAACCGCTGTTACCAAAAGACGCATTGAAAAGAGCAAAGGTACATACAGTGTGGAGACTTTAACTGGAATAAATTCGTTAGCGGTAAGGTGAATATTCTTTCTGAAAATTCCCGGCATACGTCAACGATTCAATGTATTTACGTACCTTTTGCAAGCAGTATCGAGAATATATCCCTCCAGGGGTAGCTGAAACCGCACCCTCAACAGGATTTTTTCAAATGTAACCCTATGGCTTGTGACCCCTCATTGGAAAGCTGGTGGACAGAGGAATCCAGCGTACTATTTGAATTTTAGTTTTTCATATGTTTAAAGGTTGCATAAAATTGAAATGTATTTTTAAAATTCATTCTTTTTCGACGAAACAATCTCTCAAAATGTGTGTTGAACAATTGATGGAAATTTTTTGCCACAACTGCTATCTGCTATTATATTCCAGTGTTTTTATAGAGCCGCAAAAGAAATTTCGTTTTTTTGCCGTATTCATAATTTGTAACGAAGTGTTATTGCAAACTGGTGGAGATACCCTTCATCACAGTCACTAAAAGTCAAAACTTTGATAAAAATACGTTGAAAATATATCAAACTTCAAAATTATATTTTGATTTTATGGGACCCCCAAACGTACCGCAAACTGAAAAATGATCAGCACGCTGGATTCCTCTTTCAACCAGCTTTCCAATGAGGGGTCGCAAGCCATATATAGGGTTGCATTTGAAAAAAACATGTTGGGATTGATTCCAGCTACCCCTGAAGGGTTATATTCTCCATATTGCTTGCCAAATGTAGGTAAATACATTTAAACGTTGAAAAGTCTTGCGAATTTTCAGAAAAATCATTCACTTCCCCAGTAGCGAATTTATTCCAAATTCTCCACCCTGTATACATGTATAGACAGCACTGGAGATTCCTAGAATATTCTTCAAATAAAATATACTGAAAAGGAGGAATATATTCCGAATATCCACGTAATATTCCTAGAATATATACATGTGTCTGGAACATCTAAGCAGGAAGATTCCAATGTGAATATTCCAGTAATATTTCAAAATAACACAATAATAATAAGGAATATTCCAGCAGGAATATTAAAAGTGAATACCTCTTCTCAGAATATTCTATAGTTGGATTGTTCAGGCAATATTCAGGTATGAATGTTCCAGGAATATTCTGACGTGTTTTGTGTATATTATATTCATAAAATATTCCCAACTAAATATTCTGCGTTGTATATATTCATGAAATGTTCCCAAGGGAATATTTTGTATTGTATATTCATGAAATATTCCATGAATATTCCCTTGTTCTTCAATGAAATGATCTTTCAAGAAAATTATTATGTTCATCATTATTTAATTCTATCACAGGTCTATAGTTCTTGAGGCATTACCCTGACAGTCTGAAAGTCACGGGTTTGAGCCCATCTTGGGTCTTCTTTTTTATTCTAGAACATGTTTATCGGAATATATTCTAGGAACATTCAAGGAGTATTCCTAGAATGTATTCTAGAGACCAATAACATATTCTTCTGGACATTTTCCATGAATATCTGAGGAATTCCCATCTACATATCCAGAGAGAATATTCCACAGAGATATTCTAGAATATTCCAAATTATTCCTAGAATTTTCCAATATTCCAAAAGGAATATGATAGGGAGATTCATGGAAAATTTGGTGCTGTCTGGGCAGGCACAGATTACTAGAATAATTGTAATCATATATTTCACTTGGGAACGCGGGAAAACATTTTCTGATATTTGTTGGCAGCAGGTACTGTCAAATTAAGTGTCATTTGTCGAATGCAATGTCTTATTTGGTCTATATGAATAATAATTAATTCGAAAACCGAAGGGTTCAGTAAGTTGTTCTACTATATACTCTGCTTATTTTCAACAATTTACCATTCAATAGAGTATTGGCTCTTTATAGAAATACAATAATTGTGCTGATTTTATTGACATTCAACTCGTCTTCTCCACAAGTGTTCAATAAAATACAACTGGTAGATGACGGGAGAAATAATACTATTGTCCTGATGGCTAGTCCCACGCAGAACTTTGAATTACATCCTCTTGAAATCTATGCATCGATTCGTAAAAACGCAAGTGTTTATTTCCAATGCCGATTGTTTCAAGATTGTAGCCAGGTTATCGCTGGACACCTACAGACCGGTTTCCGGTTTCGGTGTTTTGGCCCCCATCATCAGTGTAGCATAGTCACCAAACAGCAGGAAAGTAGTTGTTTCACTCCCGTCATCTATCCTGCTTCTGATTTGTATTATCAAATTTTTTATTTCTCATGAACAGATCATAGTTCAATTCTTCTCAGAACAAGTCTTCGTAATAACACGAATTTTATAGATTTACTAACTATCTCATTCAATCAAACAGTCGAAAAATGTGTTCGATATTCATTCGAGTACCTATATGGAATCACGTCAGGTACCCTTACGAGGAGAGTGTATCAACTTTGGCGTTCGTAATGCCTCACTAGAATTGAGGGTGTCGCCTTCAAGAGTTAGGTATAATCAGTGATTTTATACGCTTTAGCTTCTACTTCATTATGAACATTTCATTCTTTTTTGAGCATTTATGCTTTAATCAAATGCCGGCATATTTTCTCACAGGTACGGGAAATATGCGAAATCGTTGTAGCAGGCATACAGCCCTTGCAAAACCTGGTGGTCCAGGACCGTTTAAACGAGGACCAAAAGAAAGACTGGGTGAAATTCTGGATCGAAAGAGGTTTCACGGCAGTGGAAAAACTCCTCTCTTCCAGCGCTGGAAAATTCTGCGTAGGGGACGAGATAACTTTGGCGGATTGCGTTCTGGTGCCGCAAGTTTCCAAAGGTAGGGACTTCAAGGTGGACATGGAGAAGTTCCCTAGGATAGAGAGGATCAGCAAGGAGTTGGTGGGGCATCCTGCTTTCGTTGCTGCTCATCCTAAAAATCAGCCTGATTTTCCAACAAGAACGGAAAACAAGGAATGAGTTGAGTGAAACGAATTTTTGGATGTAAAAGCATGCAGAAATATTTCAATGGGTATATATGCTTATTGATGAAATAAAATGTCAGAATTTATCATTTTTATTATTTATACATCAAATTTGGAGTTCGTGCCTGAAAATAACAGTCAAATTTGACGTTTTTTTCATGGGATTACGAAAGTCAAGATATTTCTCAATATTCAGAAAAAAATAGTTCTAGTTTGTAAATCCACTTTGCGCCAAATGACATTTTTTGGATATCACTTGTAATCCTGTACAGCCGCACGATAGAAGAAAAATTGTGCGGCAGTATTTTCAACGTTAACCTCGAATTTTCGAAACAATAAATTGGGAAATCCAACTCAGGTTACAATCAAGATGACGTGTGAACTCAACCATGACAAACACAAACTTAGTGTTAGTGTCTTTCACGGTTGGGTGGACATATACCTAGAATAGTATAAGTAGCATTATAGAATAGAATAGTTGGCGAAACACGCGTGTGTACTATCCTGCCAAAGGTTCCAGTCTTCAATATTGAAATAAGTACAAATATCACAAACACTGAGAAAGCTCGACGTGTACTATCGAATGGCACCAATAAAAAAATTTAGGGATCAAAATAAAATTTGAGGTTAGACCCCTTTTTCCACCCAAAGTTCTACACTGTAGCAAATCTGACGTCACCTCTGTTCAAATTTTCATGCGGTAGGCACAACCACGCGGAGTTCAATCATTCAACTTGTTTATTTAGGTATGTTATTTTTTGAGAAAACAAAAATGTGTGTTTTTTAAACATTAAACAAAAAGAATAAATAGGATTAATAGGAAATATGATTTTGGTTGAGGTTCGTATCTCTATATCTAATTTAATGCTACATTGTCTCAATGTAAACCATTTACAGATGATTTTCCATTAAATCGACAAAGCCCATGGCCATGGGCAAACGTTTTTACCACTCAATCCCTTGTAATTACTCACCTGAATCCATACCCCAAGAAGAAGCCGTTTAATAAAAAATACTGCCATATAGTACATCAAAAAAGTTTGGACAAACAGTCTGGATTATAATTCTTGACAGTTATGTCATCCGCTGTTGACGGCGATTACGTGATCATGACATACCTATATTGGCGGAATAAACGAAAACTGTGGAAACGAGCTACTTATTACTGAGGCTGTATCTCGTGTGTTCTTGCCTACTTTCTATAGTGGCCGTAAGGCATAGTACAAGGTGGGCCAAAAGAAGCCATCCGATGTCATTTGGCTCTCATTTTTTTTCTAAATGAAAAGCTTCGATTCTGTTTTTTGATAATGTTTATTTGAACCTTTAGCATTTTATTGGTCAAGTCGAGAAGATGATATCGCTCAAATGGGCGCCGCCACAATTGATTGCTATACGGGCTCGTTTAATGCACTCGTGTCGAATATTGTCCTTGAGGGCTTCCAGGGTCTCAGTCTCAGGCTTGTTCACGTAAACACAAGACTTCAAAAAAAAAAAACACACAAAAAAAGTCTGAAACGGTTAAATCGGGCGATCTTGCGGGCCATACCTAATCGCCAAAACGAGAGATGAGGCGATCTGGGAACGCCGCCTTCAGAATATCGGTTGTGGCTTGCGCAGTGTGTGCCGTTGCTCCGTCCTGTTGGAACCACATGTCCTCCAGTCCTAATTTGTTCAATTGCGGCAGAAAAAACTCGGTAAACATGGCCCTATAGCGCGCACCGCCCACTGTTGTCGTTTGACCAGCGGCGACCTCGAAAAAAATGGCCCGATGACTCCTCCAGAGTAAACAGCGCACCATGCAGTCACTTTGAGCGGGTGTAATGGCTCCTCGTGCATCACTCGTGGATTTTCAGTGCCCCAGAAGCGATAGTTCTGCTTGTTCACGTACCCGCTGAGGTGGAAATGAGCCTTGTCGCTCATTATGATTTTGGTCGAAAAATCGTCCACGAGATTGAGGATGACTTGGCTTGGATTATTCCGCTTTCTTGGGAAGTGTATCGCTCCATGGCTTGTTCACTTGTATTCTACATCTGTCTAGTTCACAAGTGTCGAAACAGATCTGACATTGGGCGCCATTTGCGAAAATAAGAGCATCTTCCAATAGGGTGATTTCTTTTGGCCCACCCAGTATATTGTTTAACGAGCACGGAATGATAGTGAATTCCTACGAGAATTAAGTTTGCAGCATGTGCCATAGGCGAATGCTGCAATCATTCGAATTTTTTTACGGCTATAATAGATAACAGCGGCATTTTCGATTTTTCCGTTTTGTAGCCATCTGATTCCCTGTCAAGTAATGCTCCTCTATTAGACAGAGCTGTCATTGCTTCTTATTATTTGACATTCCATGAGGGATGAGAATTTTTTGGAATAATAACACAGTGGAGTCATTGTGCAGTACCTCATTGATGAATCGAACACAGTAAAACAAGAGCAATTTTGTGTTATAGTCGTAGAAAAACGATTTATCAAACATAAATAATTCAATTGTGTGCCAACCAGTGCATTGTTTGCCAGGTCATTGGATTGCCTAATAGTAATAAAAACTGCAAATTTTTTGTGAACAATGGGCGTGTAGACCTTAGTAGAACTTTCAACTCAAACCATGTTTATAATGATCCTTTTATACATAAATAATGATTGACGACATAATTCGATCGAAAAATTAACTAGAATGTTTTATTCTTGGACATAAATAATAGTACCTTCTGAAAACGGACCCTCTTATGACATAGAAACCTTATCTCGCCATAGTTGAAAGAAAATACCAAACGCCCGACGGAGACTAAGGCAACTGATATATTAATTCTTTCAACTGTGATCTCGCGCTAATTCACTCTGTCAGAAATCATGTATCATTCATCTCTGTCTGAAATAGTCTTGTTTCAGTATTAGGGTTTTGACGTCACATCATCGCCTCGTTTTCAGAGGTCCGAAAAATCGGGGATTTCAATAATTTTTTATAAAACGTAGGGAGCTCACAGCAAGAGACGGTTTGCGGTGGTGAGTTAGTTTGGGTGAGTTCTATCTAATTATGAAATAATTTTTTTTTTGTGATATAAGCCCATTGCCTATACCGTGAAAGATTGGAAACTCGTTGAAGTGATCTAGGTCCGTTCAAATAATAAAAATAAAGGAGGCAGTGAAAAACTCTCCAGATTTCTTAAGATTTATTTTTGTTAACCTCGATGAACATAAAAATCTGATTGGTTCATATACTTACAATAATTCGATTTGAAATAATTCAAATACATTTATGAAAACTAGTAAATGCTATGATGAAGAATGCTGATGACTGTTTTGTTAATTTCCATAGAATCTGACAACTCTGGGAAAAAACGTCGAACATTTAGAGAAAACGGCAGTGTTTATTACGATTCAAGCCCATCTAAAATATCTTTATAGTCATTTTTCAACTGGACATTTGAGCACAACTTCGACTACTCTCTACCACATTTACCTTAAAACGATAGTAGTTGACAATTTATCGTGTATATTTATTTAAGTATAGATTTTTACCTAATCGAACTACCTTATTACCGAAAAAGATGGCGTTGGTCAATTGATTCGCCGCTTAAACGTTCTCCAAACACAGGGGCGGTGATAAAGTACGAAATAAGTTCGTTTTTTCAGAAAGCAAAGTTTTTGGAAAAAATCACAAGTGATCAGGTGTTTGACACATCTAACTAGACAAAGTTATCACTCATTTTACTTGATTTTTTGGGATTTTCTCTCCTCGTTTCTATAAAATAAAAATATGCGAATTATTTCAATATATTTGTAGTGGGACAAATTAGATGATTTGCCCCAAAATGTCACTGCGTTTAACAAATTTTTCTCTCAGAGAGCCTAAAAGAAAAATCCAGTAGCTTGTCAGCGACAATTTGTTTGAAAAAAGAAAGAAATATAGATATATTGAGAAAATATCGAATTTTTACTTATCTTTGGACGTTTCGGGACCGAATCTGCTCCCGTTCTCAACATGAAAATGCAAAATATTTCTCTTTGGAAGTTGTGCTGCTTATAGTTTGACACTTTTCAGTGTCATACTGATGTTGGCATATGAATGAGTGATTTTAGTCTACAAATGAATTACAGGATGTTTTCATTCTTGAATCTACCATTTTCATGTTCAGTTTTCAGTAGTGAATGTTCTATCTATATCAACTGAACAGGAAGCAATGCTATTGTCTCCGTTCAGAAGAATGCAAGCGGATTCCTTGATTTTTCTTTTTTGAACGGAGAGCATTGCTTCTTGCTGTTCAGTTGATATAGATGGAACATGGTATTCACTACTGAAAACTGAACATGAAAATGGTAGATTCAAGATCAATTAATGAAAACATCCTGTAACTCATTTGTAGACTAAAATCACTCATTCATATGCCAACATCAGTATGACACTGAAAAAGTGTCAAACTATAAGCGGCACAACTTCCAAGGAGAAATATTTTGCATTTTCATGCTGAGAATGGGAGCAGATTCAGTCCCGAAACGTCCAAAGATAAGTAAAAATCGATATTTTTTCAATATATCTATATTTTTTTTTCAAACAAATTGTCACTGACGAGCTACTGGATTTTTCTTCAAGGCTCCCTGATAAAAACATTTGTTAAACTCAGTGACATTTTGGGTCACCATCTTATTTGTCCCACTACAAATATATTGAAATGATACTCATATTTTTATTTTGTAGGAACGAGGAGAGAAAATCCCCAAAAATCAAGTAAAATGAATGTATCACCTCCTCGATTAACCTACCTACAGTATTTAAAGTAATCACTCTTTAAGTAAACATTTTTAAAAATTCAACTCAATTGTGAGAGGTCTTCACGTATTTTTGAATCCTCCTTCAACTTTGATGATGGAATTATCTGTTGTCGAATAAAAAGGTGCCATATGCTATAATATGAGTAGTGTACTCTACTTTATCTACGACTAATATTACTTGAGTATAATATACCATATTTGGGAATACACCAAGATATCATGAAAAAACTGTTTCCCCCTATATAACACTTCAACGCCATATAACACCTCATTGGTACCTCAACGAAACACACTTGAGCTATATTCTTATAATATTTCTTTCTCACTAGATTTTTCGGGAAAAATGCATTCACCCTGTATTCCAGAAGTTTTCCAAAAACTCGTAATTGCTTCCTGACAAACAGTTCATTTCCATAATTTATTACACCCTTTCAAGTACTTGATGCCTGATCGACATAAAATAATCAAAGAGCTTGTAAATATTCGTCGGAAACCGCGATTTCCTAACATGTATCAATAATTACTCTTAATAATCAGTATAATATACAGGGCGAGACACACAGGGACGAAAATTTGCTTGAGAACCCGTTTATTTTGGAAATGACATCGTCCCCTGCCAAATACCGCACCGCCTTGCATACAGAGTGTTCCCTCTCCAATATCCAGGATTCTACAGGAACCGGATTTTTTCAAATCAATTCAAAGAGGCATTAAAGTTCGATAAAAGAAAAAAGAAAGGGAGTTTACCGAATTTGAAAATAATTTTGCTTCCATTCAAAATTGGTAAGTGGGGGTTTTTGAGGTCGGAGATCATGATTTCCTTGTTAGAATTTATAAATTCAAGATGGAGGCTTCCGAATAATTTTTTATTTTTGTATAAATGACTATAACTCCGTTGTTATCAACACAAAACTATTACTGCCACATATCATCTGTAAGAGAAAAAAAAGTTATTTGTAACTAAGTCAAAGTGAGCTATGACCTACATTTGAAAAACTAAAGTTGGTGCTGATATCTCAAATTCTAGAAGAGTTGGTATAAATTTCATATATTTTTCGAAATCACTTCAAAAAACTGCCATGAGAATGTGAAATTCCTATTTGAATATTTTCATAAATAAAGAAGTTACGGAGGAGACATGAAAATAATCAAAATCTGTTTTTTGCGTATAAAACAAAAACGAATAGATTTTATCAAAATATTTTTCCACATTATAGTTGACCTTGACAAACTCCACATTTGGTGTCATTCAACCGACCTCGTATCTCTCACCGTTAAAAAGATACCCATGGTGAGCATGGTAAGTGGGACACACTGTATAACGCCCTGTTTTCATCACCTCTCAAAATTAATGTAAAAAAATCTGGACCACCCTGTATATAGGTCCTGTAGAAAAGGTAACACCCTGTATAACGGCTCATCCACCCTATCGAAAATTACTTGGTACTCGAACACACGTTATTGTAAATATTATATATATATACATATAATAGAATATACACGCCAGAAAAATATTTCTAGATTTTTTTTAAATATAGTTAGAAATATGTGCGTTACAAAAGGGTCCTTACAAAAAAGAGTCATTGGACAACATGGTGTACTGCTGGTGATGGTTCTTTTTTGTTGGGATATTTATATCGGCAAATCAAAAGTGTTAATTTGTCTACACAATACCTGAAATTGAAGAAAAACACGAGAAATAAACTGTTCATTTTATCTTAGTTTTCGAACTCGTATTGGGAATCGAATGATCAAACTTGGCATAGCAGTTTTAAACCTATAACTCTAATATTGCAAAAATTATCGAAAATTATAATGAGAAATGTTGATTTCAACTTTATTGTTGTGATCCAAGAGATTTTAAAACCTGAAAAGTTTGGTTAAGTGGACACTGCCATCTAAAATTTGTATTCATCATCAGATTTTGAATATCTTTCCAATGTTCATGATGGTGTATAATACACACACTGGCACAATTAGGGGAACGGGCAAAATTTACACTAAGTTTGACATAAATTTTCTTTCGAACCGATCGCTCGATTCAAGTTTTTTTCTTCACGAAATGTAGCTTCATTCTTCACGAATACATCTGAGAAATAATTACCTTCAAAAGATGAGTCTTTCAATCATATACAGAGGGGTGTAAAGAAAGTACGGATTTTTCGGTAATTTTTTAGACATCCTGTGGACTGAACCACTGATAATTGAAACGATTTCTCAACACCAAATTGGAGCCCAATCTATTCCGAATATTTTCGTTTTTTATTCATCTTGATATCTCAATTATTCAAGAAAATACAGAGTTTCAAAGGAAAGGTGGATATTGGTAACAATTTTACACCTCAAAACTCAAATTGGATCTGAAAATGTGTCGTTTCTTGACTAACCTAACCTAACCATGACTAAACCTCTGCCATAGGAGACAGAAGCAGTAAAATCAAATTGTTCATTTTGTTCACCTCGGCGATATAGTCTTTTCCTGCCATCTATTGAATTGGTGCAGATGCGGCTCTCATATGTTAAAAGAACATTGGCCCACTGGTCATTTTCAAATAATGCTACAGCCCTCGCCACATCAGTAGGAGTCAAATCTCTCATGTTGGATTTTCATTAATCAAATTCATGAATTGTGAATCGCTTGACTATGACAATAATTGATTACATTAACAAAATAGCGAACGTTGATTAACAAAAATAGCATTTAACCAAAAGAACATTGGAGCAACTTTTATCACCCCTGCATATTCATGAGAGTATTCGTATATGTGTCTTTGAACAGTAAACCGATAGGTAAAACTGTGAACAATAATTCTCATCTTGAAGTAAAAATCCTTACAGAAACAAGTTGAAAAACGACACGTTCTCCCCAGTTCGAGTTCCGAGGTGGTAAAATTAATACCAATATCCACCTCTTCTTTGAAACTCTATATTTTCTAGGATAATTGGGATATCAAGATGAATAAAAAACGAAAATATTCGGGATAGATTGGGCTATAATTTGGTGTTGGAAAATCGTTTCAATTATCAGTGGTTCACTCCACAGGATGTCTTAAAGAATACCGAAAAATCCGTCCTTTCTTTACACCCCTGTATATGATATAAAGACGAATCGTTTGGAGGTGGTTATTTCTCAGATGAAATCTTGAAGAATGAAGCTACAATTCGTGAAAAATAAATTTAAATCGGGTGATCGGTTCGAGAGAAAATTGATGTCAAACTTAGTGTAAATTTTACCCGTTCCGCTAATTGTGCCAGTGTGTGTATATTATGTGAAAAATATTCACTTTTACCTGAAGTAAAAACATCAATTTTATGGAGGTGTCCCGCAATCAAATGAGCCACTCTCTGTATATTACCAGTATTCATCAGTCTTATTTTTTGTTTGTATAGAGATGTCGAAAAATACGTATTTTTCCAAGTAACTCCTCCATGCCATGGACAAATTAACAATTTTGTTTGCTACTGGTCATAGATATGTCGAAAATATTATGCACGGCAAAAACTAATTAAAATTGATAAATTCAACTTATGTAAATTATGAGCAGACTAATCAGACTTAGTAATTCCTTCCCGTGACCGTTTTCAGACCAATACCGTATTAATATCAACAGATACGGCAGTTCATAATTATTATTATAATTATGACCACCATTTTTGAATACCGTATTAATATCAACAGATACGGCAGTTCATAATTATTATTATAATTATGACCACCATTTTTGACTCACTGTGCCGAAATTTATATTATTCATCATCATACGTGGAAAGGAATTTCGAGATTTGTACATTGATTGATAAAAAACGAGGGATTTGGAATTCCGAATTTTGGATTTTGTCCACTTACCTCTGAACAAATTCTGAATCCAGTCCGGATGGTTCCGAAGCAATATCGAAAACCCGATAATTTTCTCATTTTTGCCTCCCTTAGAAAAAACTAAACCTCTCTCCCTCCCCTGTTGACGTATTTCCGTTTCCCAATGACACACCTCGTATAACTACTTCCATCAGTTCTCGTTACCCATCAAAATTGCAACATCCCGACCTCGTCTGAAAACGGCCACTAATCACCAACCAATAATACATCAAACTCATCCTGTCAGAAAATAGACAATATTACTTCGATACATACAATCGAGTACGTCCAGACGAACCCTGGAACAGGTGAAATCCAGCCACCAAGTCGTCCAGACTCGCTCGAGCCTCGCCGAATGGCCACCGAACCTTCCAGACTCGCTCCAGCCTCGCCGACTGGCCATCAAACATTCCAAACTCGTTCAAGCTTCGCCGAATGGTCAGCGAACCTTCCAGACTCGCTCGCGCCTCGCTTGGCGTCAGTCCGGCCACCAAGTCGTCCAGACTCGCTAGATCCTCACTAAGTGCCACCAAGTCGTCCAGACTCACTCGATTCGTGCCGAGTGGCCACCAGACCTTCCAGACTTACTCCAGCCGCGCTTTGTAGGTGGTCTTCCATATTTCGGCCAGAGCGACGGCCGAATGGAATCTGTGGAAGATGCACAGCGGCAACGTGATTCTCTGGATCATCGACCAGGTGAGGAAGCCGTAGAAGCGCAGCTGAACGGGGTTCTCTTCCACCTTGCGCATCTCGAACGTGTAGATGATCCAGATGGTGAGGTTGCAGATGAGCAGGAAGGTGACCACCTGTCTGCCGGGCTTCGATCTGTCGTGCTCCGGCAGGTGGACTCGCCTGCGTGAGATGTCTGCGATGAAGAGCAGCTGGAGAATCACCTGAAACACCAGAAACTACATGAGGATCGTTCTCGTCATGTCAGATTTCCACCCTGCATGAACAGTACTGCTATTTCACGCAGGTGTCATCAGTTGCTCTCGCGGTGTGCTCACGGGTTCAATAGCCGAAGAAGCTCCAAGAGAATAAAGTCAACGAATACGGTTGACACGATTTCAGCGAAACTGGTCCAAGATGGTCATGAATGCGCCAGAAGTTTGTTAAACAATTGAGAAATTAATAAAGGATCCTCGATGTCTGAATTTTTTTTATGTCCTGGTTCCCACGAAAAGGAATATCCTGTAATGTTCAGAGAACATCGTGAGAACCAAGGGAGATAAGGTAGGAACTGGTGTTCTTCTTAAATTTCTGAAGGTTATATGACTTAGGGAACACCTCCCTTGGCAATGTGTTCCAGAGCCTCGCTGTTCGTTGGATGAACGAGTCTTTGAAAGGAGATGTTCTGCAGGTCTCCAAAGTGACCACGAAGGGGTGCGAAGCCTCAACTCGACCGGTTAATCTCGCGGGGACTGCCAAGGGAGGTACAATTGTTGATATTCCAGAAGAGCATCGTCTATAAAAATATCTATAAAATAGAGCCAGATCGCCAACTTTTTTACAGTGTTCCAGAGAAGTGAGTGAGTTTGTGAGTGAGGCATCACCCACAAGACGAATTGCCTTTTTATAAACAGAATCAGGGTATGTTTGAGTGCTGTACTCCAAATATGGGAACAGTATTCCAGGACAGGTCGGATCTGTGTCTTATAGATCATGAGCAGCTGACTGGAAGTGATACAGCTCCTGGTCCGAAACAGAAAACCAAGTTTTCGGGAGGCACCCTTAGCAATTGATCTCACGTGATTTTCCCAAGAAAGGTTATTGCTGATAGTAATACCAAGCATCGAAATGGATGTCTTCAAAGGTATATATTATATAATTTTGTTATCAAACTACTACACTAGCTGTATCAAGTGGGAGCCAGCCCCATATTTCTGTAGGCAAAATCCTACATAATCCGGATCGAAGGACCATGTGGGATTTTGCCTACAGAAATATGATATTGATACAGATAGTGTAGTAGTTCCATAACGAAATTTTTATTTTTTCTATTTCAGACTGACATTGGAGTTCCTTCATTAATTTCTTAATTGTATAACAAAATTCTGTCGTATTCATGACAACATCACCAACTGTGTTTATAAAGGGTGAACAATAATAGTTATAAAATTATACAATGGACTTGACTCTTTCGTTTTGACGTTTTTGTGGAGTTTGCATCCAGTTATGGGTCGAAACTAACATAAGCCTCGACAGAGTGAATGAGGAAGACATTTTTTAGTATTCTTGATTATTTATACTAACAAGATGAACCATCCTTATGAGTGCAATGAAGCCAGAAATTGGTCTATTCAGTAGGGGGCGGTATCTATAAGCGATCGGTAATGCAGAATATATTCGAAGTTTATTTTTAGATGATTTTATGCAAGAAAAAATGTCGCATTAGGGCCGCATTGAATTATTTTTATTTAAAAGCCTTCAGATCATCAAAGTTAGTGATATTCCTAGATAGTTCAGCTAGCGCCGACTATAAAAACAAGCATAGAACGAAGACCAAGATTGGCTTTAACATTCAACATAGAGATGGATCATCTTGTTAGTGATGTGATTGATTAAGGCTGACAAAACTGTCAGGCAAATGTCAGACACGAGATGAACTGTGTCAAAATGAGCTATCTGGGTTAAGATAATAATCAAGGCTAGTACTCACCTGCAGAATCGCCAGAATGCCAGTTATCATCGTCAGAAGATTGGCCTCCACTGTGAAAGCATCAAGATGGCCAGCCACCACGCTGAAAACTGCATACAAGAAAAGTCCGAAAGCAGAGATCCTCAGGAGAATGTCATTGAGGTCGCTACGTTCTTCGGTCTTGAACTTCAACTGTTGCACCCTGACACAACAAAAAATAAACTCAGTGCAATACATTTGTTCCTTATATCCATTTTAATGGAGGTGTTTAGCCAGAAGAAAACATGAGGCCTTATTTCGCGAGTTCATCGGGAATTCGCCGATGTAATATTGACTCATGCAGTAAGCTATTGAAAAAGCCTCGACATAGTATGTGATCCCATAGACACTCATCTTTTTCGGCACTCAAAACAGTACATTGGGTGTAATAGTTCAAAAGTCGAACATTTCCTTCAACTTCACAACAGGAATTCTATTTTATGTCTGTATAATTACCTTATGAACCTTATCTCTGTATAATTACCTTATGAACCCGACGATTATGGCGATGATGCTCAAAACCATGAGGATGCAATGAGACACCTCCGCCAAATAGATTGCCAACATCCTAAACGCGTTGTTGGATATCAGCACGAAGAAGAGTATGAGGCATATCAGAGAGGCTACTAGCATCAGCAGGCCCAAGAATAATCCCTTGGAGGCCCCGATGCAATCGACCCGACCATGTTGGGCGTGAGCCAAGGCCACGGCCCTACGGGACAGCATCACTTCCAAACGGTGCTCCAAGTCTTCTTGAGTGACATATCTAAAGAAACGAACAGAAATATTTGTTCGGGTTCTAAGGAGCTGATTAGTTCTTACTTTGGTTTTCTTCCGATATGCTTCCACATGACGTAAATCACTGCAGCTCCTATGAGGGAATATTCGACAATGAAGGGATACAAGTAAGGGCTAGATTCTTCGACTATGGAACCCATTATATTAACCCTACCGCAGCTATCGGTAGAGACGTTGGAAGTACCATTGAAAACTCTGAGTGCTTGGGGAATGATATCATCGAAGAACTGGGTATCATTCAAGTTGATGTCGTTACCGACTTCTTCACTGAAGTCAACCTCATTAACTGTAAATGAAAATTTGAGTCGTTAGTTGTTTATTTCGAAATAAAGTCCAGTTGTTGACACACCATTGGCGAGATTATTGGAGGCAAAGCTGTCAAACCCGCCAAAGTCCTTGAAGCTGCTGAACGTTCTAGGTACTGGAGTAGTGGTGGTCGTTGTGGTAGTCGATGACAATGTAGTAGTGACCATTTTCCAAATTCTAGCCGTCGTCATTCTCAAATTGAACGGAGAAGGCGTTGTAGTTGATGTAGTGCTCGAGATGGTCGGGATGAATCTCCAAATCGATGAAGGGGTAGTCGTCGAAGTAGTTGAGGAATCTGGCGAATAAAATAGCTATTCAATCAAAACCCTCGACAATATAACCTTGAACGAACGATATATCTTACATGGAGTGGTTGTAGAAGGTCTCAAAGTAGTGGCAACACTGCTAACGGTCGACATAAAACTATCTGCTTTCATTCGGAACATATCTCTGAAAGTGGTCGTACTTGATGGTGTACTAGTTAGTAGACTAGTAGCGGTAGACCTGATGATATCTGGTACTACTTTGTGGGTACCAAGCACCGTGTTAGCGTTACGTAAATTGTGGTGCCTGATGCTTTCTGAAAACGCAGAAAAATATCAGACATAATACGACCGATCGTGCATCAGATTTACCAGCGAATGCAGACTCTGTTGTAAGGTTGACGGTGGTATGATTAGCCTTCACGTGATACTTGGTGATGTCCTTCAGGTACTCTATCACCAGCGTTCGAATCCAAACGCAAATGTTTGTAGCAACGACGTGCATCAAACCGAATCTTGCAACAACTTTGAATCGGTGAATATTCAACTGAAATATTACAAACATCACTCTTCTGGAATTGAATGAAATAAATTTTCTTCCAGTTTCTACACAAGCCCACAAAAAAATGTATATTCAAGAAGTGTCTCGAACATGTGCAAACATAATATCTCAAGATACCTGTCAAAAAAATCTCATATGATAGTTGCATCTTTTTCGATCATTTATTACAATGTAAAGGCGGCCTTAAGTGGCTCACGTGGTTTCCGGCTACGTTATTGGTCGGTGAAGCGAGAGGCTACTACACACGGGATACCTCTGGCTTACACAGATCAAAAGAAGGCATTCTCAAGTACTCACCCTCGAATTCATGAAGATAAAATACATTTGCATGAAAGTGAAGACCATCTGGAGGGAGGGATTGATCCCGCGAAGAATCATGTAGCAAGGAGAGGTGAAGGGGACCTCGAAGAATAATCCGAACTCTAGTCCACTGTATATCATAGTACCCAGGCCAAATGCTGAAAATGTCAAGAAATAATGATTCGAAGTTAAATTGAACAAAGTAACAAAGAGGATAGCTTCTACATGACTTTAAGCGATGATGTGTTTCATTCTTGCTATATATTCTTGCAAACATATTTTGATAAAAGTTTCTTGTAATAGGTCTAAAATATAACTTTGAAGTGAAGAACTTCTGAAGTGGAAGATACATAAATAAGACTATAAATCCGAACTGAGTAACAAGGCCAATTTATTAGTAATATACTACATCCCGCATATAATTACTATTCCACTTTTTGAAAAACCAAGGACTACTCTAGATCACATTCATAGGCTTAAAAATCGAGAATCCATATTAGCGACTTTAAAAAAAAATCTGAATACGCCAACAGAATTGACGTCCTTTGAAATAGATCTGTACTAAGTTTCATGAAAAAATATTCAACATTTACAATTCTATGAGATCACTATGCACTGAGAAGCTTTTACCCATGCGATAGCAAATTAATTACGACTTTATTCAATAACAACTTTTAATAGATCAGAATCAGATGATTTGTCCTAACTACACGTATATTGAAAGAGTATTCATATTTTTATTTTTCATTTTATAGAGATGAGGAGAGAAAATCCCAAAAAATCTAGAATAATGAATGTACCAACTCCTCGATCAACCTACAGATAGTACCTACTTAGAAGTGTCGCTCGTTTTTTTCATAGAATTTCACACTTCACATTCAGCCTCCCCCATTGGAAGAAGCACGAGCCGCCACTGAAAACCAAGGGATCGTACGATAGTAAAGAGACACTCACCGATGGCTCCTATCCTGAGAAAGAAGCTACCGTGACTGTGCTCGTTCTGCGACGTCTTGCGTCTGCATTTCGCCCCTCTCCCGGCCGCGCTCACGCCCACCTCGACGTCCGCGCCTGCGCCGGCGACGGGGGGCGGGGCTGCATGAGCAGGGGGCGGGGCCGCGCCTGCGCCTGCCGCAGGAGTCGGCTCCTGCGAGACCAAAGGGGCGCCTTGAGATTGAGACAATGCCGCGACGGGCTCGGGCACTAGGGCCGCGTCTACCACGCCCTCAGAGTTGCGTCGGTAGGTGCTCTGGCCGCACAAAATAAATGTGATAATAATGGTGGCGAGTGGATTTTTTTATTTGTTGGTTCGTTTCGTTAGCCTGTGGGTTAATATGTACATCAAGCAGGATTCGACTGACATTCTATACATGCATTCATCTGGAGACGACCCTGTGTGTTAGTGATGGTAAATATAGGTTTGCAGCACGACAAATTTTTCAAAATCAGAATGAATCATCACACTATACAATGTTTTACCACTGACCAAACCGATTTTTTGTGTGCCTCATTATATGCTTATCTAACAATGTGTCTTCAAGAGATTATTTTTATTTATTTATCAAACATATCTTCCAGTCAGAACAAGTTCTGGTATAAGGGAGAACATAATTATATAATAATAAGTAATAAATATATATGAACTACTACACAATAAATCATTATAAGTCAGAATATCCCAATAAATCACAATAAAACAAAACAATCAATGAACAAAGAAAATAATTCTAGTCAAGGACATAACTTACTGATGAATTTTGAACATTTCTCTCAGAAATGATCAGTTTTTTTACTTCCTAAATGTACCTATATTTCTGCAGTTTTTAATTTCATCTGGTATTAGTTTATTGAACTCAGATAAGGCTGCATGAGTGAATCTTTTTTTTTCGAATGTAGAACTAGCAGCATCAAGGTGAAATAAGTTATATTGTCTAGTTTGATGACTATGAATTTCAAAATTTCTTGTCAAAATAATATTAGATTTCAATTTTTTATTTATGATATTGAATGAAATGAATTAAAAATAAATATCCTAAAATTGTTCTATCCGTCATTCTAGTATGCTGCTTATACTATAGGTATATCCACCTAACCGTAGAAGACACAATCACGCAGTCCTAATCCTAATCCGAAAACACTAACCTATACAGAGGGCATATTATATGGAATAGGTCATTATCTTTATCTTTATTCATAACTCTATTACTTTTTTTTTAATCGCTTGGAGCGCACGAAAGGGAATCCCTATAATGTTCGAAGAACATCGTGCGTTCCTAGGGAGGATAGGGACAGGAGGTAGGTATTGGAATTTTTTTGAACTTCTGGAGATTGTATGTTGTTGGGAATACTTCCACAGGCAATGAATTCCAGAGCCTAGCCGTTCTATGGATGAAAGAGTCTTGATAAGTGGCAAAACAGTGTAATGTGATAATTGTGCCAAAGTTCCGGTCTTCGATATGCAAGGTGTCAAAGAACAACGTACCATAAATTCTACAGGGTGGACCAAAATGAGCCTCTATACGAAAATGCACCGTTGAGCCGTTAGAAGGCGATGAAGAACAATTTCATTTGCTGATTTCCTTTGGTACTTATTAATTTTTTCTTTAGTATTGAAGAAAATCTGGAAATAAAATTGTTCTCCATCGCCCTCTAACTGCTTAACGGTGTATTTTCGTATAGAGGTAAGTTGATTTCAATCGGCCTATTTTGGTCTCTAGTTCACCCTGTAGAGTTTATGGTTTGTTCTGGGACACCTTGTAGCATGAATAATAAATGGATGAATTAACAACAGTTCATGTTCTCCCGACGGCAAATTACTGTTTGTTATTTTCAATCGGTACCGGTACCTATTCGTCAAAAATTTGTATGATATGCCAAAAAATATTTTTATTACGGCTATAACACAAAATTGCTCTTTTTTTACTGTGTTCGATACATCAATGAGGTACTTTGTTTTTCATCAATTTTATTTCCGTATCTGATAGCACAATGACTCCATTGTGTTATTATTTCAGAAAAATCTCATCGCCCAGGGAATGTCAAATTTCAAGCTCTTGCAGCATTACTTGACAGAAAATCTGATGGCTTCAAGACGAAGAAATCAAAAATGCTAATTTCGTACTCGAATGATTGCAGCATTTGCCTATGGCTCATGATGCAAACCTCATTCTCGTAGGAAATCAGTATCATTCCGTGCTCGTTAAACAATATACTATTTTCTCCAAATGACATTAAGAGTGGCTTTTCAATGACACTTGACAGCATATATAAGGTGTACTTTTGCTGCTTAAGTCTGAGAACTTACCAAGAATCCTATATTGCGCACCATATGTCTCTTGAAACATTTCAAAAAATTTGCCAGAATGTTATTTTTCATGCGAACTGATGTTAAATATAAATAAAAATATATGTTTGCAAATATCCAAATATTTTCTTTTTAAAGTGAGCTGTTGAGGGGTTTTTAATATTTTCTTACCGCTTCGAATTGCCACTGCAGAGGAACGGGTTCGGTGACGTCTTCTTGCTGCAAAAAATATTTGTTTTCTAGAATTTTGCCAATCGGTATCGAATTGTTTAGATTTTTGTCTAAATATGTATATATGAAAGAATTTAATTTCGAGAGTTGCTTTATAACCGTAAAACTTTGAAATCACACAATGAGTTTCTTTCGAAAAACATCATCTATGAATAAATCTTGTGAACAACATACATTACGAATGAATATTTCGAAATATTTGGAACTTTCAAAAACTACTTCTGATCTGATTTATGATTTTTCTGCTCTTTTCAACCGTTTGAAAAATATTACACTTGTTTTGTGCAGAGTGTCTTTATTATGATAACATTTTTCCTATACTATATTAGATAATTAGATGGAAAGATGAGAATGAAAATAGCACAAAAATTCAACGAATTTGAATTTGAAGAAAAAACATTTTGAGAAATACATTTCCAGGTACTACTTGGAATATCTACTGATTTGAGGCATTCCCCTTAACAGCTCATGAAAAACAGACCTCGGCTCAGAGTGGAAAAACATAAAAAAAGAGGTAACACCAAACAACAAGAATCTACTCTAAGTCAATAGGTCGAAAGTCAATTGGACTAAATCCCTAGTCGAATTTGAGACACGCACCTATTTTATATTTTACCATCTTTATCCATGTATAAAATAGTATTTCATACAATTTCTAATAATTAGTCAGCACCGATAACAAGAATTCACTTCTACCGTATGGCTAATAAAATAATAAGAACTTCTATAACCTCAACAGTCACCAGATAACAGAATTATCATTACCACTCACATAACTACTATCTAGATCGCTATATGTCATAATATGACATCAACCCGAAAAATCTCATCCCAATTTCTCGCCCGAAATCGCTTCTGCTCAATGCGCAGGAACTCCCAAACTGTCGTTCATGACATCTAGAGTCACTGAATGGTATTAGTTAGATTAGAGTTGGGACACAGCTAAACTTTTGTCCTTTTCTATTTTCTATATTACAATGGTTTGAGTGAATAAAAGAATCAGTCATATATTCTGCTCTTTGTCTAGTAGCGCCTGATTTTCAGATACGATTTTAGAAGTTAGATTTTCTGTCAAATCGATCATAGCTGTAGATGGAAAATAGAAATAGGGTATAAACACCCACTTCAATTTATAGCATGTAAAAACATTTTAATATGACAAAATAGACACATATATGGATATACTTATTGTTAGTTCCTTATTGTATGTAAAACTGTACCCGAGTGATAAAGTTTGAAACATGAAGATTGTTTTGATTTTCTACCTCTTGCTGTATTTACTTTTCTCTGATTGGTCGGTATTGAAAACGCCATTCAATGATATATCACGTTGCAATTTACTTCATTTCCTCAGTTTCATTTTCAAATTTTCAATGTCATTACGTACTATTGCAATCAATTCCTCTTTCTCAATGATGCTTTTGTTTTGTAAATTAATGAAACAGCAGATTCTCTCAAACGGATCTTAAGATCTCCTGTTTGAAAATAGGCATTGAATATAAGTATAAGAGTGAGTATAAGATATATGACAGGTCCAAAATGCGCATGATTCATGTTCTCCAGTTCGATCTCGTGAGTGGCATATAGCTTCTTTCTTATGGCATTAGCGGTCTAGGGAGTTAAATGACCAAGAATAAACGACTAGATATATATTGTTCAAATGCCGCACCCTGTCAACAATTTGAATGTTTGTTTCTGTAAATTTCTCTCCTGCCATATGATGTTTGGCAACTTTTCTACCGAAATAATAGATAATGAAGAAACATTGACTTCGGACCTACTGACCTAGAAAACACATATCCCCAAACAACAACCATGCAGAATTGAATTTATACCAAGTACTGAAACTACCAAACCACATTCCACCATCACAACCATACCATAACCTCACCTTCTCTTGCCCCTTCTTCTTCTTATCCTTCTCCTTCCCCTTCTCCTTTTTCTCCTTCTCCTTCTTCTCCTTCTCCTCTTTCTTTTTCTTATCCGCCTCCTTCTTCCTCTCCTTCTCTTTCTCTTTCTCCTTCTCCTTCGCAGCAATAGCCGCCTGCTTTTTCCCCGCTTCTTTGCTTTCCCCGCCGTCTGAGCAGCAGGAGCTTTCCTGCAGCAGGAAGCAGAACACGTACAGCAGGAAGAGGATCGACACGCCGTAGAGGTAGGTGAAGAAGCCTTCGTAGTAGTAGAGGGGGAGGTTGTGGGTGACTACGTCGGAGAAGACGTAGCCGATGCAGACTACGACCAGCAGCTTGGCGTAGAGGAAACTCATGATTATGAACAAGGAGGTTCTGGAAAGGATAAAAACAACAGAATAATGATTACACGAAGGAGTAATCACGTGGGAAGTTTGTTGAACAGACTTGAGGAAGTTCATGGATGTTCGAGGTATTTCAGAAAGTTATTTGGGAAATTTTGCCTCATGAGAATTTTACTGTAGGCAATGTGTAGGTATCCGTTTTTTGCCGTGAAATATTCGAGGAAGTCTGAGGAAGTTTGAAAAGTGCGAGGAAGTCTGAGGAAGTTTGGGAAATTCGAGAAAGTTTGGGGAAGTGAAGAGGTAGTTGGACGCCATTAGGATGATGACAATAAAGAATTTCAAGAAAATCAAGATCTACTTCACCAACTTATCTATTTTTTCGAATTGTTTGAGATATTATTGATGATTTCGGAGTTCTACCATCGATTTTTTACTATTTTTCATCCAAATTGTTATACCTGGTGACACAGGGCATCAGGCCACACCTATAACTTCAGCATTCGTGAACGGATTTTTCTGAAATTTGGTTCAGTTATATAATCAACCATTCTGGATTTGTTCACATTACAATCTAATATGGCGGACTTTTGGTTTTTCCGGAGATGCCAGCAACTCTGTCTTTCCAAATGAAACACCCTGTATATTTTTACGTATTCTAGTTCCACAGGTCAAAACAAGTGCAATCTTTATGTCAAATGTAATTTTTTAGAAGATATTGAAATTAAAATTGTTATTTTATTTTACCTCGTGGATAAATGAGATGTGGTCAAAGCTATTCACAATGAGTCCCATATACTAAAGAAACATATTTTTTTCTGAAAAAATATTTTTTATGTCACTTATCGATGAATCATCCAGTCATTTTAATTTTCATACGGCTAGAAATTGACCGAGAATAACAACTGACGTCACGATTTCATTTGAATTGATTTGAATCGGTCAACGTGACAACACTGCGCACGAATTGTGGGCGTGGTCTTGTCAGTTCTCAGCATTCAGCACAATGTTACGAAGTCTCCAACATTTACATGATTTTCGTTATGGAGTATGAGAAATATTTGGACATGCTGGTTGCTCGGAAAAGTTAAGAATAAACTATAATTAATATTCCTCCTATTATGTTTTATTCACACCTTTCTGATAACTTGATATTATAAGTGGTGACTTGACAACCTTGCTTCATGATTGGGAATGAAAGATTATCTGAACAATAACGAAACAGCATAAAAACCATTTATTCGACGTATCGCCAAATGGCGGCCATGACGATACGTTTGAAATGGCCCCTGAAATTCAACAAAATTATTTCGAACAAGGCATAGACTCATTATTTACATAAAAAAGCGTGAGAAATGTTGCAAAAAAGAATTTAGGTCCCTAACGACACAGTGGAGTAATTGAATGCCAATAATTCATTATCAGTACACTCGCCCATTGATCGAATGCTTTGGAGTTTGAAGAGTTAGATAGGAAGTCCAGGAAAGTTTGAGGAAGTCCAGGAAAACTCTGGGAAGTTCTAGGTATTTTGGGAAGTTTGATGTACCTACACGTTTTTGCACCATGATTAGGTACTTCCTCGTTATTACGTGATGAAGGGAAATAGATCGCATTTTAAGCCAAAGTTGCACATTTTCGCATCTTTGGAAACTGAAGGACTCTGCTGGGATACAAATATTTTTCCTTCGAACCTTGTTTTCATCATACTTCCTTTTCTTGGTCCTTTTATCTCGCTTTTTTCTCAGCATTGTTATGCTTGTTAGGGGGCAGGGGGCTAATTTTCATATGAAGCATATCAACTTTTTTTTTTTGTAAAAAATTGCCTATGAGGGAGCAGTGTGGAAGGGTTGATTTGTAAGTGAAAACATTTTCCAAATCAATTCAAAAAATCTGATCATCGGAAGAGATTTTTTTATTGGGGTGATTGTTTCTTTTTATCGCTTAGAAATATTCGTAATTCCTTGTGGCTGCTATAGGCTGTTATTTGTTTCCAAAGGTTACTGTTTGTACACATTTCACCGAATACGAATTTTTTATATAGATTTTCAAACTTGCTTATTATTTTTCAACGAAAGTAGGAAGCAATTTATAAATTAACGAATTTTTTTCGGGAATAGATTTTTTTTAAATTTGTCCACAAGAAAATCGATATGACATCAATACTCATAAGTGTAGAAAACTTTAATTTATTTACTACCAAAAAGGATTTAAAGAACAGTCTTGTTTTAAGGATGTTTTATATTCTTCTTGTAATTATTCAGATTACGAAATGTGGTAAATGATACACAGGATCTTATAATGAGTCGAAAAATTCAAAATACACAGGATGTCCCATTTTCTATTAACAAATAGAATCTGAAAGTCGTTCCTTATAAATACAGGGGCGAACCACCCGTTCTGGTCACCCGGCATAAATTCCAAAAATAAACGGTGCTCCCGAAGTAAACCCCATCGGAAAAAGATGTCTACCTTTCGTCCGGCTTTGGCTGCACGAACTTCAACCCCATCTCTTCACCAGAGCCGCCCTTGTCGTTGTTCTCCATCTCGAAAAAATAAATCTAAAATCTATTCCGCTAATCTCCGCTAATCTCACTACCCGTTTACATGTTTCGTTGATTCGGATTTAGAATAAAGCCTGCAAAGTGCGAATTAACTTTCATAGCATCGTTTTCCGCGAGGTGGTGCGGGTGAAAATTCGCTGGAAATATACAGTTCTCAACACACTAAATGGACCACTCATAATTTGACTATATTTCGAAGACCTGTATTTTTTGAAAAAAATTACCGATCTTCATGCGGTTTTCGATATGAAATGTGATATTTCATCGGCTCCTTAATTGGCCATTGGAACAAAAATTCGATTTTTTTTCGAAAGTCTCGCATTTCTTGAAAATTTTCTCTAGAACTCCACTTGAGCTGACTATTGGGAACAACTGTTCTCATGTTTTGTGGAGGACAATGAAAGACGAAAAAAGCACTATTGTGGAATATACAGGATGATAAGAAAATAGGACAGAATCTCATTTCAGTAAAAAAATCAAAAATGGTGACTAAAACCATGGCCCATTCGATTCAGTATATTTAGAAACGGCCTTCTCGATATCCATTATCTATATTAGACTATTAACTCGAGACGTTTTCAAAAATTCGCCTCTAATTGAAATACAGGATGAAAATTTTCAATTCAAACTTGTTTCCGGATATCGATGATTCTTATCAACTGATTTCTAATATTTATTGCCAAGTATGACTTTTCCAGAGTGATCTAGCTCTCTTTGAAGCCGATGAAACATCACATCTGATATCGAAAACCGCATGAAGATCGATACATTTTTTCAAAAAATACAGGTCTTCCAAATAGAGCCAAATTATGAGTGGTCCATTTAGTGTGTTGAGAACTGTATTTGCGTGTATATATAGGCCTATAATAGGAAGATGCCCTCAGGAAAGGAAAGATTTATGTCCACAAAAAATCGATGGCATCATCAATACTCAAATTTATTGTAGAAAAAAAATTGTCTCACTGCCAAAAATTATGTAAATAACAATATGTTGAAGAATGTTTTACAAAATGCTCTTGTTACTATTCAGATTACGAAATGTGGTAAATGGTACACAGGCTGTCATAATGAGTCGAAAAATTCAAAATATACAGGGTGTCTTATTTTCTATTTACAAAATGGATCTGAAAGAAGGTAATCCGATATAAATTTTGATAATAAACGGCGCTCTATCTCCGTGAACATTTCAGCACGAAAAAAGATGTCTACCTTTCGTCCGGTTTGGGCTGCACGAACTTCAAGCCCATCTCTTTACCAGAGCCGCCCTTGTCGTTGTTCTCGTTGCCGCCCTTAACCCTGGAAACGGGCAAAGTGGCCATATTGTCCGGATTCTCGCTTTCCACCGTCGCCACTCTCACGTCACTACCCACCATCTCGAAAAAATAAATCCAAAATCTATTCCGCTAATCTCACTACCCGTTTACATGTTTCGTTGATTCGGATTCAGAAGGCCAGCAAAGCGCCAATTAATTTTCACAGCATCGTTTTCCGCGAGGTGGTGGATGAAAATTCGTTGGGAATATTTCCGCGTAGGTCCATGGGAAGATGCCCTCAGGAACGAACTGATCTCGCTCCGGCTCCGGAGGGGTGGGGGTGGGGAGAGAGAGGCTGCGGAAGATCACGTGGCTTGTGGGGGAGCGTCGCGATTGGCTGACGCTCGGCGTCCCGGGATTTTGACCTAATAACCCGTGTGGACCGCGAAGAAGGCGAGATATTGTCATACTTTGTTGAGTTCGACGGGATACGTTGGTCGTTTTACAAGCTCAATTTGCACTTTTACTCACATGAAAGAAGTCTTGGATCGAGGAAATATTCTTCTCGATTTCCGATTATACAGGGTGTTCCAGTTTTCTGGGATGCTACGAAGGTTCAGGGAATAAGATAATCTGTCGATATTATCGCCTCTGAAAAATCGACTACCTCAGTCTTTGTTGTTTTAAATCTAAATGAATGAATGAAGCAGTATGTAATATATAGGCGAGGTATAATATTGTATTTTCACTTATAATACCACGAGAAATCCATTTCAAAACTTTATTCCACTGAAGTTGGTGGAAACATTTTGTTATACAAGGAACTTGAAGCGAACTTATTAAAATTCACATCCATAACATTGTTATGTTAAATAAAACACAATTAACTTACTATTGGTTACACAAAATAATAAATAATAAGTCGATAGTAGCTCAATTTCTCCGCTTTTCACAAATTCATTTTACATCCAAATTTCATATTCAAACCCCTTTCTTTCCATTGGTGTAGAAGTTTTGGATGTTTATTTACTGAAAAAATCAAGTTCTACGCCCATGGAAAAATATATATCATTCTCATAATATAGGTTTTATCGCCCAATAAAGTTATGCCAACGTGAGCCGTTTCAAAGTTATGAAGAAAAACGAATTGAAAATTGTAACTTCAGAGCCATCTAGCGCCAAAACTAGGCAACTTTGTGCTGAGGTAACTTTGCTTGTAT